AAAAAAAAAAAAAAAGAAAGAAAAAATACAATTACAAATCCAATCCCATTTCAGATTATAAACCATGTCTACAGCTGGACCGCAAATAGTAGCCGCATCAACGGCAGCCGCTTCGGCTTCCGGGTTCTCGGCAACTACTGTGTTCTTATCACTTTTCATCCCAGCAGTCGTTCTCTACCTTATTTATTTCCGACTCTCTAGACGTCATATGATCGAACTTGCTGAAAAAATACCTGGTCCACCATCTTTGCCTTTACTCGGACATGCCTTGGAATTCCTTGGAAGTTCCGACGGTAAGTAAATATTCAAATAAAAATAGAGTATTTTATTTAGTATATTATATTTGAACAGAATAATTAGTATATTATATTATACGAAATAATAGATGCGATTCGCATTTACTTTCGAATTTATCTTACATAATTTGAGTTCCGTGATCGGCGAGGAAATTTAAACAACGGTTTTATTTGCATATTATAGCCATCTTTCAGAATGTAATGAAAAAATCAGAGGAATACAAGGATGTGGTCAAGTTGTGGATCGGTCCCAAATTAATTGTTTTCTTGATTGATCCACGTGACGTTGAAATAATTCTATCCAGTCACGTGTACATCGACAAATCTTCCGAATATAGGTTCTTCCAACCGTGGCTTGGTGATGGTCTTCTTATCTCCACCGGTAAGTTTTCATTGTAAAATTCCTTTTTTTTTCTTTGGTACTGTATAGTAAACCGTTTAGTTAAAGCTTATGAAGACTCTCTTCATAACAATATACTTTTAATATTGCTTGCACTTTAGTTTGAATCTTGAAAATTTTAATCACTACGAAAAATTAATTCGTATTTTTATTTCACGAAGACGAATGTTCTTTGAAAAATATGATAAACGGAGAAAAACTGTTCTCTAAGTGATAGCGAAAGCAATGACTTCGGCTCCGTAAGTCCGTGAAACAAGCGAGATGCAGTTTCACGATTGAGTGCAGTTATTTAAACGTAACTTTCTCGTTGTCCGGATAGTCTTTTTCTTCCTATAACGAAACTACTTCAACCATTTATTCGCCCACGTAACAGGGCTTGACACATGTGCACGTAACAGCTCCGCCTATATATAACTACCTGATACAGTAAAATAAAACTTTCTTCCCACCCTTTACCACTTCCTCCAAGCAGGCAGGATTTTTATGTCATAAACGACCGAAAGTATAAAAAGAAAGCGATATAATTAGCTTTTGTAATGCCATTACCGCAATATAAGAAACATGTGATTTCATATGTGTTATGTCATCGATCGTATCAATTATCAAGTTAAATTGTATACCCATAGAAATATACGTAACACCGATACGATACAATTATTTTTCATTGCTCGAATATAATTCACGAGTATTGAAATATACCTGTGCGAGATACAAGCAGGAAGAGAACTGTCGATATCATTTATAATCTTTCTCTTTCTCTGTGTCAGTAATCCTTCCATTAATCGATGCACAATTAAGAATTCCTCCGAAACTTTCATACTCGCTTATAATGAATTATAAACGCAACAGACAATTCAGACAATTCAATTAAAAATGATTCGGATATAGGTCAAAAATGGCGTAATCACCGTAAACTGATCGCCCCAACCTTCCACTTGAATGTATTGAAGAGTTTCATCGACCTGTTCAACGCAAACGCCCGCGCTGTCGTCGAGAAAATGCGCAAAGAAGGCAACAAAGAATTCGACTGCCATGATTACATGTCCGAGCTCACCGTCGAAATTCTTTTGGAGACTGCCATGGGTGTTTCCAAGAGTACCCAATCCAGCGGATTCGAATACGCCATGGCTGTAATGAAGTACGTATTTATTTTTCTGCCCCTCTTACGCAAACGTTTTCTTCCTTCGGAGAAAGTTCGCCGATATTCCAAGGTGCATGTTTGGTACGAGTTGTAACTGATGTTGCGTAACTACTGGAAAACAGATGCATTTCTATAAAAGATAAACGGCCATGTATTACGCACATATATCACCGCTGATAATTTATTTGCAGGATGTGCGACATCTTGCATCTCCGTCACACCAAAGTATGGCTTAGACCTGACTGGCTATTCAACCTGACGAAATACGGAAAGAATCAGATAAAATTGCTCGAAATCATTCACGGATTGACGAAGAAAGTTATCGCGCGCAAGAAGGAGGAGTACAAGAGTGGAAAGCGTAATGTCATTGACACTAGCGCGCAGAAGAACGAAAAGGTGAGGCTTAAAATCGATAGTACGATATTGAATTTTTACTTTAAAATGACATATCGATGTGATATTTTCATAAATTTAAGGTTGGCAATACCACCGTCGTAGAGGGTGTTTCGTTTGGTCAATCGGTCGGCCTTAAGGACGATTTGGACGTTGACGATGATGTTGGTGAAAAGAAGAGACAAGCTTTCCTCGATCTCTTGATTGAAGCTGGTCAAGACGGTGTTCTTCTTAGTGATAAAGAAGTCAAAGAACAAGTAGACACCATTATGTTTGAGGTAAGATTTCAAAGAACATTCGGAATAAATTTGTTGTACAATAAAACGTGCAATGAAACGACGTGTTTTAAAGGGACACGACACGACTGCCGCTGGATCCAGTTTCTTCCTTGCAATGATGGGTTGCCATCCTGATATCCAAGAAAAAGTTATTGAGGAACTCGATGAGATCTTTGGTGATAGTGATAGACCAGCTACTTTCCAAGACACCTTGCAGATGAAGTACCTCGAGCGTTGCCTCTTGGAAACTCTTCGAATGTACCCACCTGTACCTATTATCGCTCGTGAGATTAAAACAGATCTAAAAT